TTTTGAACGTGGCCGCTCTGATTGGATGGTCAAGAAATCGAGATTTCAGTCACCAGTTCACATAACCGCAAATTACAAGTCTTGACTTGGCGCAGATGAATGATATTTATCTACTCCTGATGACCTTGCAAGTCTTCCGTTCTAATACATTAGTTTTTTTTAACCAACAAATTGTTCGAGAACGCTGTTCTGATCGACAAATCGGATTATTTCACAAAATTTCAGGGGAAAATATTTGGCCAATCAAGAGTTTACCGATATTCTTTGGGAGTTGCTCCTCCTCGTAACAGTCCAAACACCAGCGGACGAAATTCAGTATGTACTCGACACTCCCGCCAGATATATGGAGTACTTCACATGAGTCGGTGATCTAGCCAGTCATTTTATCAATACCGTGGATCATTTCTCTGACTCTTACAACAACAACGGCGCTGATAACTCTCCACCACATGTCTTTTACTGATACTTGCAGTCGTCTTTCAGGCTATATAGCCACCACTCTACCAATCTGAGTGAGTGATGAGACTCTCTTTGTCCGACATGGACGGAGATAACCGTGGCATCCTAAGTGACCTAACCTTGTCCACTTTTCTTGACGAATGATCCGAAATGATTCGTAGCGACCCATGGAGCTGGACTTCGCTTATTTTTATTAGACCTCAGAAGTTGCACCTACGAACTAATTATCGATTTATTGGCGCGATTCATCACAATCGTTGCCATGGTCCTCTGGTTAAGAGAACTATTCATTCTAGTACATCGTGTTACAGTTTTAATATCACCCATATTAACGTATTGACTAAGGGACTTTCATTAATCTTCTATCTCACGCATGGTTCTGTCAAGTTGCCAGCTGAATCGCGGACGCTCACCTGTAGCTGATGGGGAAACGTACATGGCTTTATAACCCGGGTGACCACACTTCTCGGTCGTATTTAAACGTTATCACTACGCCTTTGAGACTATTTCTCCCTCCCTCTGTGTCCACCATCAATCGAACTGCCAGTGTAGACTAACCCCCAATAAAGGAAGCACAAAAATTCAAGTATGTAGCAAGCTGGAGTCTATTGGAGACGAAGAGGTGAGTCAGATCGCACTGAAACAGATCGCTCCAGTTGTAGCTCGGTTAATCATGGGTGTTGACCTCACATCAACACTAAGCTGTTGGCCGATACCTTTCCTGCCTGTTTCAGTGTGACCCTTGGGCTTTAGCTGATTTTGACGTTTTTGTCTCAGCTTGGGAGCAAATGCCTGTTTTGACTTCTGGTCCCGAAATTCGTTGATCTGCACTCAAAAACCACACCTTCCCAGCACATCACAGCTAGAACCCCCTTAGGCTACTGAACTTCTCTTTGTCACGACATAATCAGTTGCGTGATGAAATCTCACTTGGCTTACTGAATAAGGTGTCTGAGATAGCAGTATTCAGCTGCCAACGGTTGGTTTCACTCAATACCGAGGACAGGAATGACTGAAGGTTGTAATTCATCGAAAATTCATGAGTACATTGTTCGAAACCCATGGTCTAGCCAATGCGTAAAGTCTTTCTAGGCGGATAATGTAAGGGAACTGTCACATCAGTGGTTAGTGTTTGTCCGGCATTTCATTGTTGCTAAGTTAGGCCTTTTTGAACTCGGTTCTAACTGGTTGTTATTGCTTGTTTTTGTTTTTTGATCCTTCTACCAAGTTCCCAACACCAGTGTTCCACTTTTGTCATCATGGCGGTACAAATTGTGGCGGTGATCCATCCCACCTTGGTGCTCTCCGAACTTGATTTTTTAAATCCACATTAAAGCCGATAGTTCAAGGCAATTTTTTTCTTGACGATGATTTGTGTGATGTGTATCACAACAGCCTCAGTGGACCCTCTGGTTAGCGAGTTTAAAGCGTAGCATAATCGTAACCGCCGAATAGGCCTGAGTTCGAAGACCTTTGGTCAGCATGTGCTCGTCTATGTACAACATTTTTTTATCGAGAATGCCCGCTGAAAATGACACAGATGCTAGGTAGTCTCACGTTAGGTTCGGTCTAACACCTGTTAATTCCATCGGCAACTCAGATCCTATCGGTTCCGTTCATATGTTCAATGGCAGAAAAGATTACACGCTCGCCTTATAAACCGGAGGTCAGCGGTTCGAATCCGCGTAGGTGTGAGCAACCTCGTGGTGTACCCAGCTTGTAATAGTTGCATGACATCGAAGCATCAGTAAGGTGTAGTGCTGACGTCTTCCTTTGATACGGTTTGAATCTCCGTTCTATGTGCGATTATACTGAATACTGTATTGTGGGAGCAAGCAGAAATTTGAATGTGTACAACTCCATCGAAGTATGGTCAAAAACGTTAAAAAAGCAAACTATGACTTGTATTAGCGTCCTTTGTTTGCATAACTCAGGTTGTAATAGCCTAATCGCCATTGCTTCGGCGGCGGTCAGCAGGCGTTTCCTATGACTTTTCAATACGCTGATTATTTTCTCGCGTGATATCGTTAAAAAGTCGTGTAACTCACAGTGAATTGGGACTCAAAAATGTAAGATATGTGTGCAATCGTTTTTGGAATTTAACACTTGAAAAATGCCGGCCCGTAGTCTAAAGACAACAAGCTTGTCTTGTAATCTGACGGTGTGGGTTCGAGCCTGCTAGGAGCAGGGCGACTCTCGCAGTATCTTTAGCCCACGTGCGACCGGTGCGGATTACGCAGCAGCGAAGCATCTGTACTGCGTACCGGTTAACTGCTGATGCCTTGCATCCGACGATCGTTTGAACTGTTGCATTGAGTTCGCTTCCATTGTATGTTTTGGCAAACTGTTCCATACATCTATAGCCGTCTGGCACACCGCGGAAATTTCCTTTTTTCTTCACATATCACCTATGGGACGCTATCTCTGGATCGGTCGTTTCTACATCGACACTTACGTTTTGTTACTTAGCACTATCTCTCTGTCCTACTCCTTGGAACTATCTTGGGTCTATTATTTGTCGCTTGTTATAGCTGTGAAACTACGCGGAGTGCAGGACTACTGCATTCAAAACGATACGCCCCATTTTTGACAATAAATGTAGTAACTACATTTTTACATTAAAGTTTTTCGATAACCCACCAGACCACTTAACGGGGCTTATGAAGCAGTATTCCTTAACCCGCATAAGGTCATTGTTCGCAGCGGCCTCTGTAATCAATAGTTCAATATGATCTTCAGCGGATAAAGAGGCGCTACAGTGGTAACCTATCGATCGATTATGTCTCAATACGATAAGCTCTCAAATTCCACACAGGTTAATCTCGGTAGCCCATGATGACCTAAGATGGTTATGGGCTACTCGTGTTCTATTACGTTGTGTGTAAACGATGGATCCGTACAAAATATTTGTTTAATGCGGTAATAGTAAAAAGCTGCAATTAGGTAATCATTTCTCCTCCACTTAGTCCAGGTACGAGCACTTTTATGTGGCTTTTGAGAACGTTTTTAAGCGTGATAATAATAATAATGACCATATTGCTATCAATAATAATAAATTTCCTTGAAAGGTGAGACGTTCTACTGAGCTTAGTCCGAGCATTATGTGCATGCTTTCTTGTTGCGCACAGATTGTTCTCCAATAGCGAGGAATTTCGGTTCCATATGCTTTCAGACACCAGTTGGATGTTTGTTCCGAAAATACATCGTGCCTTGGTGATAATCATCTCATCATAATATCGGAAGAATAGTGGTCCGGAAGACCGTAAACAGACGGAATGTAATGGATATAAGTGGATTGTAGATCAATCATTACTTGAAAACAGAAGTAACTTTGGATGATGTAACAACGAGTTACAGGACCACTTCATGCGAAGCTCTAGCACACATTTCCAGACTGCGCATCGGGAAATATTTCGGCAGCTACGTTGTAAATGTGTTGGAAACGTCGTTTGTGATTAGTAGGCTCGATGCAGGTTATTCAGCATTAGTGGGTCGTGTGCTAATGAAAAGAGTGCAGTACCCTAGCTTGATAGACAAACAATGCTTATCGATTGGATTAGACAGTAATCAGGCCAAGGGGAGGGAAAGGAAAGATCTACGACATATTAATCTGGGTTTGAGTGTCAGCCTTGTCAAAGCGTCAGTTATTTCCCTAGCGAATGTGGTACAACCGGTTGAAGTCGTGCTGACAGGACGTAAGTGTCTAACCTACCAAGGCGTCAATGGCTCTACAAGCGAGTGGTAAGTAGATAAATTGTGCTTGAACTATGATGCGAGAGATATTTGACTGAATTCATCGATGTGTACCATCTGACATTTCGTAGAAAGGACATCAGCTGTACGCCCGCACACCGTACGGACACTCCGCAGCCGCGCGAGCCCGCTCACACTTAGGATGATTCAAATTGCTGTCCTCAAGAGTACAACGCAGACGCGCATTTCTTTCGACTACCAGCCGACACTTTCTAAGCGGCAGCTTGACCTATTTCCACATTCGAGTAACCAATCTAGCTGGCTCGTCGTGTGGTTCTTCGCAAATAAAGACAGGCAAGTCAGGAAATGGATCCTACCAATCATGTATATTTTTATATGAATAAATAAATGAATAGTATATCCTTCGACGGCGCGAGACAGTCCAACTGAGTTGTCTGATCAACACGACCTGTCCAGATTGTTGTCAGGGGTGACGCGATACGAATGTATCGAACAGCGCTGCGTGGTAGTCATGCCGGTTGTATGAGTCTTTTAAAAGCCTTTTGCGGTTACATAAGAAACATCTTTTTCGACTAGCGTGGGACTTCGTAATAAGCCTGCAAATACAAGGCATCCATACATTTTTTTCATCCTATGTTCTCCATTAACCGAGTGAGTACACATCGTTTCTTCGTTTTCAGCTGTTGAAACCTACAACGACGTGGTTCGTCCGTGGAGACCGCACCGCTAGTCAATCGTGTTAATAGATGGATCTGGTTTTGATTAGTGATATACTACTGTATATTCGATCAGTAGATGAATGGTAACGAAATAAACACCAAAGACATTGTGTGTGTACTTGAATTTACTGTCTGGGGGGATGCAATACAACGCAAATCAAACTACAGAAAAGAGAAAGAAATCTTAGCTTGAATTGCAAGTAGTTGCCCTAAAAAGCGAACGATTCAGCGCACAGAACGGTGGAGGGGGGAGGGTCCACTATTGAGGTATTCACAGTCGGCGTGCTATATACAGACACGTTGCTGCTGGGTGTCCACCACGTCTGTAAGTGGCAACGCTTGGATTGGTCCCAGGTTCGTTATTAGTTTCGTGACAAATGGAAGACACTAAGAGGTGGGTGAACCGGAATAGGCTCAACCTACAGGGTGGTAACCTCAATCAGACACTACAACAATGGAGAAATTGGCGCAGTCTGTCTATACATAAAATTACACATGACTGGGCAATGGGAGTAGAGGAAGAGGGGGGGATACGATTTGATCCTAAGGTTCACTCCAAACAGAGAAAATGAGCAACAAAAGATTGTGTGTTCGCGAGTCTATCCATTGCAGCGTGGAATGTTGTACACGTGTGCGCTTTGGTCGAAGCGACGATCGAGTGGTGATATGCCTGGCACGGTACCAACCTATTTACTGATGTAATAGGTGAAATGCTCGTTCAAAATCAAAATACAGCATAAATGAGGGAGCGTGGAGATACCGTTCGCTTGAGAACACGCGCGTCTGCGATTTGAAGAGAGCGGTGGAGGTAATTCACTTTGTTTTCAGTAAGGAACATCTACCGGAGCAACGCCAGCATCGTTGGACACAGTGGGAATTAGTGAGACTGGAGACAAATTCTGGCCACTTCTGATGAGCGTGATGGCGGTGGTTCCGGGCGATGAACGGTCGTCAACCATGTCAAAAAATTGCTCTGCGAACCGTGATATGATGGAATCCAAGGTGGGACGCCGGGTGTGATCTACGATACAGCAATCAAGTGCTGTCTGCAAGTACCATCGAGGACAGGTCACGGGGACAGGAAGCTTGCTGTGATCCAAACCAAATTCCTGGACGGGTGGGGTATGAGGGGAACAAATGAAAAGATTGGTTTGACGTGGAATCAGAGGAGAAAACCGATCACTTCGGTCGCAGGTATGCAGGAACAAAGTTAAAAACACCATCAGAAAAACCCGTTGTGAATAGCTAATGGGACGACCAATTTTAATTTCAGTAGAGACGATTAAGAGAGCTGTCAGGGCGATCTATGCGGAAGCAATGGTTGGCAGCCGACGAGAAAACGGCGGCGTTTTTTCGAACTAATCTGGTCTTGGTAACTGTGGTGATAACAGATAAACCATTAGAACGCCTTGCACTTCTTCAGTGAAAGGAGCTTGTCAAATTTACATCAGACTGGGTTTGAAGCCCTACCAGACTATCTGGTGGGTCGATACCGAGTAGGAAGTACAGTACAGGAGATGCAAATGCCATCGGATGGCGCTTGACGTAAATGCTCTACCTCAAAGAGCTCGACCACGACCAGTGCTGTGTTGGCTCCATTAACAACCGCCAATACTGCACGGAATCACCGAGTTGCGTACGATGATGAATCATCTCATTCAGCCGAAATGTTTTCCCACAATGTGGCCCATCTCATTTCCTATTACGCCATACGGCATGAACAGAGTAAAACCGGAAGAGGACCGCACACGTTGAACGCCCATCCAGCGAAGCTTAATGCTGATCGGAATACAGTTACAACAGACCCGTGCACACTGGTGGTGCAGTGGCTGACAAGGAGAATATCGAAGACCAAAAAAGGTAGAAGATAGTATGTCTTCTTCAGACTTGCTTTGTATCGACGCCTGTAAGTCCCCGTTACCATAAGAGAGCTGCACCTTCAGTTAAGGGCTGCTGTCCTTCTAAACGGGACTGGACCTTAACGTGGTGCGACGGTTTGCGAACCTCATTGACCCATTGAACTGTACCGATACTGAGTGGTGCCCCTGGACTCCTACGACGTTGGTCAATGGTTAGAGGTCAGGCAAACTCAGTCTCCTGGTCCTTCAGGTTGAGGGTTTGAAATGGGATGGCGTCTATTTCTGTAAAACTAAATCATTACATGTCCCCACTGCCTTGCGGACAGGCTTTTGAGCCAAATGCTTTGGTTGAGGACCCTAATCGTCCTTCTGTCTAGGTCTGGGTGCCGTGACAGTATCTTAGCCCACATACAACCATGACAATTTCAACAGACTCTAACTACATCCTGCATCGGCCGTCGCGCAAATTATCAAGAGTCACCTTATTTTCCGCACACAGCAGAGCGCATAAGCGAAAACATGCTACCCTTGGCGCCTCCGATTTTTCATTTTCACCTGTCTCTCTTATTCCTCTCCCATCCCCCATTGCTAACCTTCCTTCCCACAATGTCACTGAAGTCACACCAGCTATGTTCCCGCATCACCCACTGGACGTCTATCGGTAACAGCCTCTTATAAAACCACGCTGTCCCGTTTCCCTGGCGACGTTCAACTTTCGCACTCTAAGACAGATAGGTCAACTGGCTGTACTCGCACGCGCGTTTGATACACTGAGTATTGACACGGGTTACGTACTCGAAACCTGTAACAATGACCTTCATGGGGCTGTTGCCTGCGCCTGGTTTGTCCTCTCGCTATTCGTTGCACGCATCCGGAGACAATGATGCGGTAGCCTCTGGTCAATGTGGGATAGGTATTGTACTCAGTTCCAAGGCTGTCATCGTTGATTGTTTGGATTCCGGTGAACGGCCGTTTGTGTGCAGCGCGTTTGACGACACCAACTAAGGTTGATTCACGGAGTAGCAATAGACGTTTGGTTGTACTTTCCGCTTATGCTCCCACCGACTGCAGCTCTGATGCTGCCAAGGATACTTTCTACCGCGTACTGAACACGCTACTAAGCAGTGCTACCACTTCAGGTATCAAAGTACTTGCAGGGGATATAAACGCACAAGTAGGTCGCCGGGGCTCTTCAGAAGCCAAGCTAGGCGGTAATTATGGATTTGACTCCGACCGTACGGACAACGGCGGGCATCTTACAACTGTGTGCGGAGCACTGCTTGTAGACACAGTGGGCGCCGAAATGCTACTTGGCGACCTCCTGTACCTGTCCAGCGATGGACCGAAATTGCCACAAACTACAGGTTCCATCTTAGATTGCCGCTCGTTCTGGAATACCTGCGTCGACTCTGATCATGCATTGGTACACTGTCACTTTTCCATTAACTTCACCTGGAGGCGCACCAAGCGTCTCTCCCGATCGACAACTGAGAAATTGTCCCAGCCCTCGGTCAGGCAAGATTACCAAGCTGCGCTGCGGGCCGAACTTTTGCTCCCTTGTCCTAATGACACCGAGCTTCAGTGGAATAAGATCTCGACCGCTGAGTACGACGCAGGAGCATCTGTTTGTGGCACTAACAATCGTCACCGTACCAGTCACTGGATATCCAAAGGGTCTGTAAACCTGTTGTACTCCAAAAGAAACCTCCCGGCTGGCTCTGACCACAATGTGACCAGACGGACTGTTAGACGCGAACTAAAGTGGAGCCTACGCGCTGACAAGGAAGCCTGGTGGACCAGTCGGCCTCCAGAAATTAAGGAGGCGGAAATGGTAGTGAACTATCGCAAAATCTTGCAGCTGATCCGCTCCACCGGTCCCAGGAAACCAGGCGTCTAAGAACGTGCAATCTTTCATACGAGCAGAGGCTGGAACGATTGGGGGTATTTAGCGGACGGTATGGCAGATTGCGAGGCGATCTGATTATGGCATTCTCGCTTCTGCAAGGCCCACATCATGTGTGCCGCTCCTTACTACAACCCCGCAGCAATAAAAACCTCAGAGGTTACTCATTGAAACTCGCAGAAGAGTATATCCGTCTGGAGTGTTGCAGGAAATTCCCATTTGTGTCTGCCACTTGTGGAATGCTGTCCCAGAATCGGTAGTCTCTGCACCGGCACTAAACGTACTTAAAAGATGGTTGGATGATGCAGTCATCCACTTACACTTTTTACTTAGCACTATTCCCAGCGTGACAGCTCCCAAACATGCCAAGCAGCACTGGACCGATTAGCACTGGCTGTCAATCGTCTTCGGCTATGCTTTGCTCCATCGGAATGCAAAGTACTTCTCCAGGATTAGCAGGGACCCAACCCTGCGCTAACGCTTTGTGGTGATCTGCTAGAAGTCATTCAGGAATTCAAGTACCCGGACAGCTATGTTAGCGCCCGTGGGATCGAAGATGAGGTTACGAACCGTATACCAAAAGCCCGAGGTGCTTTTGCCAATCTCCGCCATCTGTGGCGCAGACGTGATATTACTCTCGCCCTGAAGAGCAGAGTTTATAACGCAGCCGTCCGTTCAACTCTCCTATATGGTTGTGGAATGTGCCCCATCAGGTCGATAGACATAAAGTGGCTCGTCATATTCGATCGTCGCTGTCTTCGCAGCTTAGCTCATGTTTGGTGGGAGCACCGCGTTTTCGGTTTCGCGTATTTGGTGCAGGAAAAGCGAGTGAACCGCTCAGCACCATTATATCACGCACCAGGTTCCGATGGTTGGGCCGTGTTGCGCGTGCCAGCACACCGACTTCCACGACGTGCATTGTTTGCGCGTTGTGGGTGCGGTTGGAAGAGGAGGGGAGGCCAAGCGATGACTTAGTCGAGTGAGATGAAAACCGTCACTTCGAAGTTGGCGTCGGTTGGTGCATCCCAACTGCCTGGCTGGGGTCCTAAGGACGATGAACACGTTTGCTTGGACACACTTGCTGATATGGCCAGGAGCCGGCAACAATGGCGTTTGTGCTGTGAGTTCCTTTGTCCATCCTCCTCCTGCTTAGCATCCCCTCCAATCACGATCTCACTCGTTAGGCATAATGTAACTCTCTTTACGGCACGATAGCCAGCTGTTAGCTCTCCGGGGACCCAGCCGGCGTGCCACTGTTTGTTTTCCTGTTGTTGTTTTTGTATTGCGGCACAATAGCTGAGGTGTTTTTCATCTGCAGCTAACGTGTATAATGGTGATGATGAAGTGTGTGCTTCGGATTTCTTTGAATGTTAACTATGGGTGTTGTGAATCCACGCGGACTGAAGAACTATAGCGGAGCAAACGATAAGTTCTTATTTTCATTATTAAAGTATTGTCTTATTATTATTGACATTATTATTTCGATATCCCCACCAACTATTCAAAGGGGACTTGTAAAGCAGCGCTTCTTAACCCGTATAAACTCATTGTTCAATCAGAGACAGCGCAGGTGCTCTGATTCACAATAAGGAGCGCCGTATGGCTCGTCGGGCGGAATGCTTTCAAGATCAGTTTAGTAGACCCTCTGCTTCCGAATCTCCTCCCATTCAGGTGATGCAGGATGAGCCGGGGGATTTTTTAACCTAGTGGTAATTACGCCCAAAGGAGTACAATAACATTTTAAGGAGGATAACTATTGGTTCCAGGATTGGGTCATCAATCAGTTGCAAAACAAGCTCAGTGACAAAATCATCTGTATCTAAACATGTGACTAACTACCTACTCCGGAGGTTCTCATCCTTGGGGATAAAATGGCATTTTCTGGGGGTAAATATTAGTACGGGGATCGAGTCAATAGTCTGTTGCCAAGCAAAATTAATAACTAAATCATCTGTATCAAACATGAAACTAACTACCTAATCACTATTGATTAGCCCTCAGTGACTAATCATTAGTGGGTGCTCATTGGATTAGACGATCTTCAGTAATATAGGTTACTACCTAAAATACGAATACAAGCCTACAACGCAGCGCAGCTAGATGGCGCCTCTATCGGCTCGATCGCCGTTTGTTATTCTTTTGAGCCAGGCAGTCGTTCGCCAGGTCGAATTACAGATTTGAGTGAACATTAATGTAGGCCGACCAGATAAAGCAGCAAGCGAATGTTCACAAGGTGGAGGAGACAGAACAGGCGGTTAGTGTTCAGGACGTATCGATACAAGGTGGCGGTGGGAGGTTTATTTCTCTAGGACGGAGTTGGCGGAGATGGTTGAAACGAATGAGAAGC